AATGCCGCCCTCCTGCAAAGTAGCTTTCATGATGTCAGAAGGCCATTGAAGCTTCCAAAGGAGGGAAACCACCTAGAATCTCACCCACATAATGCCTGTGAGCCACAATAGTGACCAGCAAGGCATGATAGCTGCAAGCGTGCAATAATAGTACACATAACTTGGCAGTAACTAAAAGCTCTCTATTTTGGATTCGATTTAAGAACTCCTTAATATGAAGGAAACCATGGCTAGTTCTGGGGATCTAGTCAACCGTCCAGAGCCAGTGACATGATGGATCTTGGAGGAGAACCTATATCCAGCACTTTACTGAACCAGCATAATCTCTAACTACATTCTAACTATGTTTCTTGATGTACAAAGGTCAAGTGCAGTCAACACTCCAATGGAGGAAATTTCTCTATGACATATGGAGAACATTACAGAAAACCATAGCTAATCAAATGTGGGGTTGTAGAGCCCAGTCCAAATGGATATTTTTATCCTCTATACAGTAAAGTTTTTGATGTAATCCAACTATGTATGAGGACTATCTATAAATCAGGTATTATTACAGCAGGATCATTCATTCAGTGTAACAATGAGAGTTTAGGAAGCCGAAATTATTCTGTAATATTGGTGGGTATTCTAGAAACCATCTTGATGGGGATTTTTGTACAAAGTTTCGTTCATTTTATGAAGTTTAGAGGAAAGCATCAAGGTGTGATAGAAGACCATTCTACAGAAAGTTTGAGAAATGTCCCCTGTAAGTTTGTCTGTGAACCTAAATACACTTTTGCCATGTTTAGGTAGACCCTTTCTAAGGATTCCTGATTAGCAGTAATTCAAGAGAGCTTATCAGTCATGATTTTCACAAATGAACTACTAACATAGAAGTACGTGTATGAGAGTTCCAATCACTTTCCTACCACAGAAGACACAGGTAAGAATTAGGGTACTAATAAGCATTGCATATGGAAGTTATATTTAAAACATAGGAATTCTTAAAGGAAGTTATAAACATTTCTTCTAATATATCATACATAAATTAAGTAGAATTAATTTAGAATAAATTTCACTTACAAATATTATTAGTTTACATTATAACAAAACCTTAAGTTGAATAAAACTCTTCTATGTATTGCTGACACATGAAAGTAACTTTCTAAAAAAACTAAGAAAAAAATTAGCAACGAAGAAAGGTAATTGAGATGTCAGAATGGCCTCCCTTCTGAAGAGCTATTGGTCATGATTGATGAATTATATATTAAAATTAAACTAAATGAATTATTACAGAAACCTAATTTAAGGATAAAAGTTGGTCTATATGTCAACAGGTCAAAATCACCATATACATTGTTTTGTACAAATCATCAATCATTCTTTAATCTATATGCTTCCCTGCACCGTGCTGGCTACAGTGGATAGATTCCACCCTCTTAAGTAGAAAACATGGAAACATAGTCACATTCTGGAAGTCTTTCCTGCTCAATGTCAGAAAATATATAAATAAAAGGAGTTTATTTTTCCTTGTTGAGTTTTGATATGTTTTGACACGACAAAAATTAGATATCCACTTGAAGAACCTGTCTCAGAATTGACAGAAAATATGTCATCAGGAGAATGAATCGATGCCAGTGTGTAGGAGCCTTTAAGAAGACATGCTACACAAAGTGATGGATGGAGGTTAGCTATGAAATTCACATCTATATCTGTATAAAAGTGTTTTTCATTTTTATTTTTCTAAAGAAATTTGCCTTTAGTCATTCCTTTATGTGCATCTTGAGGGTGAATTGGAAACTTATATTTTAAATATTTTACAGCCATATGTCAAAATTAGTTCATCATTTTTTAATACTAAACAAGGAAGGCAATGGACATTGTCCATGGTTTATTCACACTGGGAATTTGAAAGGACATGTATTATTATTATTATATACCTAGTATATAATAATATAAAGTATTATTATACGAAGCTTTAAAAGCTTGATCTTTGAGGAAAAAGTTATATATGTATATATATTTCTTTAAAATCTTACTGATAATTGTGAGGGTTGCAATTGTTATTCAATGACAAAATGCTTCTGTAATATGCCTGCATTAATTTGATACTTAGTACAGAAAAATTATTTGAGAATATATATATACCAGTTTTATTTTTATACTAAATATCAAATATATACTGCGTAGAACAAAATGCATTACTTGAATTTCACTTGAATTAATTCTACTCATGCAATAAGTCAATGTATCTCCCATATGTTTGTATTGGTCATTGTATTATATTAGGTACTGGAGTACAAGCTGAGAAAGTAAACAGACAGCCATCACAATACACCAGACATTTTGAAGCTAAGTATCTAGCACAGGATTATAGTTTCGAAATAGCTTTATTTTGCTACTGAAAAGCATATATTTTTCTGGAGCATGGAAAAATAGTAGCCTTATTTTCTATGGTTTTAATTATTCATGTTCGAGTTACTGATAATCAACCCAATTTGAAAGCATAAAGCAGAAATTCCAACTCTTAAATAGCAATACTATTTGAGTGTTGCCATGGAAATTTGAGCTGCCACACTCTGTTCTACTCAACATAGGAATCATTTCATTGATCAGTGTATCTATGCTGTATATGCTACCTGCCCATTAGTCATTAAAAGGCCAAGTTGATTATATAACTTATCACTATGTTGAAATGATTTTGTTCAAATTTTATTTTACTTCTAAATTGCACATATACACAAGAGTAACAAAGGAAAGGAGCCACCAAAGCCTAAAACAAAGATGGATTAGATTTAGTTCCTTACAAATTGATAGAACTGCAAAGCATATTGGGAAAAAAAAATCTCTATATGATTCAGTGTGATCTCTGTTTTCAGGCCTCCAAGAGGGACTTGGAAGGTATCACCATCCATAATAATGTGAGACTCGTAAACATAGTAGATATCTTGGATCACATACTGGTTGGGCATAGCTAAAAGCCAAGCTTTGCACAGAAAACAGTATCCAAAGCTAAGCTGAAGGATCTCATGTCAGAGGCTGATGCTTTCCCCTTTTCTCTAGGAAGAGTAAATTTATAACAGAACAGCAAGAGACAGATGGTGTTAAGTTTGAGGAAATTAAAATGTGTAGTAAAAGATGAATGAGGACAAATCATGAAAAGATTTTTAGGCTGTATTAGGAATTTATATTTTATTCACAGGCCTAGAGAGATCAACTGAAAAATTTTCAGCAAGAGTGAAAGAAAACAGTATTTGCATTTTAGCATACACACATGAACATACCTCCCACTCATGCTCAACACTTACGATTAGAGAAACAGATATTTTTAAAGCATAGGAATAGTAACTAGGAAGATGGTTAATAAGCTTCAGGATAAACGCAAGAAATAGGGGTCGAAGTTCCAATCAATAAGTGACAGTAGAATTATAAGAATGATAATAATTTCAAGATACCCTGATCCACATTCTAGTTGCTAAAATCACTGGTACTTGGGAAATCAGTTAATCAAAGCCTGTGGAGTTGGTAAGACAGACATATTAGTGAGATGATAACCAGTAGATGAAAGGGTGGTATTAGAAGAGAACACTTAGCAACTTCAGCAAAGAGGAAAACAAAGTTTGGTGTGATGTTAGTCAATTTAAAGATGAATTCTAGCCGGGCGTTGGTGGCGCACGCCTTTAATCCCAGCACTCGGGAGGCAGAGGCAGGTGGATCTCTGTGAGTTCGAGGCCAGCCTGGTCTACAAAGCTAGTTCCAGGACAGCCTCCAAAACAATACAGAGAAACCCTGTCTCGAAAAACCAAAAACAATAAAAATAAAAATAAAAAAATAAAGATGAATTCTAAGACAAAAGCTGTCTTCAAAGCATGAAGATGTCTGGCACTTGAGCACCTGTGATGCTTCAGGGGTACATTGCACATTATCACTTGTTACATGGATGATTTAATGTAGTGAGCAGTGCCTCAGGCTAGATAAGAACAGCAGGTTGGATGATATAGTAATATACAGCAAACATACTCCTGCTTTATAAACTTAATGTAGAGCTCAAATATAATTTCCTGTAATGTTTGTAAGCTAAATAAAAGAGTCAATTAAAATTTAAGGAAACTATAGAAAACAATGGACTATTTCTAATTGTGGAACTATAATACTGTAAAACCCAGTAACAAAACTGAAAAGGATTATTGGAAATTTCAGATGACCTCAGTAATGACAAATGAGACTCGGTAGCCATTAGCATTTGCTGTTTTAAGTGTTTTCATTGTATATAAATATACCATTGTTTATCAAGGGTTTTTAAACTCAATAATAAAATGTAAAATGCAAGTGGGGCTCACGCATATGGATGAAACTAACCTCATTATGAAATTGAGTCATCATATTTTTGATGCCACAGGAGACATTTACAAAAGTGTGTATGCATAAAGGTATCCCATAAATAAAGGAATTTCAAGAGGACTATTTTTAAAAGAATCAGATGTAACCTTACTTTAATTGTAAATGCTTAACAGACTCTGTGGAATCCTCATTCCATTCATAAGTTAATTTTATTAGGAGAGTGTAATCAAATTATCCCATTGCTTTGCAACCACAGGTAAAGAGATGCTGTCATGAGTAATGGCACTGTGAGATTCTGTGCTGGTCGGTGGCATGACTCAAATGTTTTCAGATCCTAATGTTAATTATCAGTATTAAATAAAATACAAAACATCAGATGAGATAAACTTGGCAAGCAGATTGTCTCAAATTTGATCAAGTGAGCTACAAATCTGATCAGGTGTGTACCGTGCAATCTGGTACAGTTTACCCAGCCAACTTGTCAACAGGCTGCATCAGTGTATCAGTTCTGAGTGAATACAGACCAGAGATATGATTTTATAAGTTATTTCTGTTTTGCTGGTTTGGAAAGGCAACTATGAAAGCATACTTGAAGCTGTGTAAAATAATTCAGCTAGCCATTAGGAAAGCTTTCACATCAGAGGAGTGAGATAGGCTGTGAAACATTTGAAAGGCATTACCTGCAACCACTGTGACTGGTCATTGTGGCCGGAGGTCCATGCATTTACTTTGCCTTGCTTGTCCAGCCGGGCTTTCCTTGGTTCCCAAGTGAACATGTCCATGTTGAGTGTTCTGAAGACGCTGGAGGCGGTGATCTGGTAGTCTTGTATATGCCCTGATTTCATCCCCAAAGGTTCTGAACAGCCTGGTAAAAGGAGAAGAACCCCATGAAGAAAATAATTGATCATCCTGGAACTTTTCCTTGTTTATTTCTGAGTGGAAAGAGAAGATGGAATATAATTCCCCCAAAGAGAGGACATCGAAATTCAAAAGAGGAGCTATAATCAGAAATAAATCTGGAATAAAATAGAAAAACACGATAGCCAATTCAAGCTATTTTGTCTGAATACATTTTGGAAAAATTGAAAACAAGACAGACAATTCAGAATACTTTTCTATGATAAATGATTTTGCAAAATGAAAACATTGTCGAAATAGTCTCTTCTGTCTCATTACTGGGAGCCTCATGACTGTTCCCTAGTTTTCCACAATTTTATTGTGTCTTGGAGGATGGGCCATTTTCTCATAAAGTATATTTGGCTTTCTTTTATTTGTTTTCATAATATCACCAATGGAATTTCCCTAGTACAGAGTCATTTTTGTAAATTGCTCCACAGCAATATTCTAAAGCAGGCAGAGTTTTGTTATCTAAGAAATACACACTACTTTTACAGTTTAGTGAAAGGGTCTCACACTGTGGCCAAGTTGACCTTGTAACTCTAGCTATCCTCACTCAGTCTTTAAGTGCTAGAATGGTGAGAATTGATTAATCTGACATAAATATGGCTTCCTCTAGAAGGGAGGAAGATAATATTTACTTAATATATAACATGTGTCAGGCATGATACAGCTACGGAATTCAGAAAAATGAGTAAGACAACAAGAATATTAAAATATCTCTAACTAAAACCATTCATTATTTCCATAAACTCCTATATTCAAACAAAATAAAATTTAATACTTGCATATTTTGGAAGATTATCATTTTACCATGCATTTCCAATTTTGGTAAGGTATGAAATTTTGGTTTGTATGCTATTGAAAATGATGTGTCCATGTGTAGGTATGCTAAAAACTTGCCAGATTTCTATAGGAGAGATGAATCTATTTTTATATTGTCCAGTGACTAAGATTTGGCTAAGGATCTGGCAAGACGAGTTAGAATGTTATAGGGCAAAGAAAAGAGAGTGAACTTCTCCAGTGCAATGCCTTCCTTCATATTCTACTGATCTTCCCCTCACTGGATGTGTGGTCTTATACCTATTATTCATTCAACTTACATTTCAGTTTTCAAATCTCCAAAATGAAGATTGCAATAGAATCTTGACAAAAAACAATGTATTTAGAAATATTGCTGACAAAATCAGCATTCAATAAAAATTAGCTCTTTTATTATTTCCATAAAGCTAATTCCAACATAAAGCAATGTTAAGTGTCCAAGTACCAACATTTCAGTGACTGCCATTTAGCATCCTAAAACTGGGCACTGTTGCTCAGTGCAGACTATTTTATGTTTAGCATCTAGGAGCGAAAGCATAGAACATTCCACTGAAAGTAATTGACTTTAGCTAGTTGCTATCTGAACTAGTCATTTTGAATAATTTCTTCCCTGCTGAAGCTCCTCTGTGTAGTCTGTACCTCCGTCTTTAGTTCCACGGCATGGCAAACAGGGCGTGGAAGGCTGTTTTCTTAGCCAGCATCTTATTGAGGAGACATACATCCTAAACCCAAAAGTAAATAGGCTCTAAAGCCAAAATATGAATTCTAAGGGAAAAATTCATTGTCCTAACAGAGCTCACAGATTCTAGAAAGTTTTAATAGTCATAATGGTGTAATATTTTTCTTCAGGCAATTCCCATGTAGTGCACACTGTCTTCATGACTCCTGAATTCTTTTATTTGGAGCCTGCCCTTGGCCCTTGCTACAGACCAATCATTGTAAAATTTTGTTTAGTTTGCAGAATACATGAAATATAAAAACAGGATTACTGTTTCTTTTCTAGTAAAATATCTGAAAAATTAAATAGATAAGAAATGACTTTGACAATTTTTTTAATCAAAATTCATTTCATATCCATTCTGATATCTAGTGCATAGTTAAGAAAACAGCTTTATATTATTATGCCCTGAAGTAATTATTAATTAAAGAATGTGTGAATGAGTTTTAGTATTCTAATTATGATCCTGATCTGTTTCCTTCCAAACATCCCAAGTCGGCTTTCATACAATTTAAAAGATGTTCTTTTCAAGTATATGGAAAGAGAGAAGCTGCTTCTAGGCAATGTTGAAGATCTATGACTGTTGAAAATAATAAGGGAGGCTTGGACTTTACAGTATTGCATGCAACTGGGTGAAATATTATGAAACATTATGTCAATACTTATTTCTAAGAATAACAGCTAAATTATTTAGCAATGAGCTTTATATTTCACAAATTTCCTGACTCATTCATATGATTTTTGTGAATATAAATTAATTATCTCTTTTACCTGTAAGAACAGAACCTAAAAAAATAAAAGTGCCATGTAGGCATCGATTATTTCTATGGTGAAATACTCTCAAGTCTTTAAATTCAGTTAGTATCTTGCTAGAGATACTGTTCTCTGTACCCAAGTTGAAAATCAATTTGTAATATTGGGATTGAGAACACTACTTCCTTTTCAGAAAATAAATCCTGTAAAGTGTCAATTGTAACCTCTTGTCAAACTTGCCAGCAAAATATATTTACACCTTAAGGGTGTAAGTGTGCCATGTATGAGAAGCTGGTCCTCATGAATCAAAGGACTGAAGAAGTGGGGTAGGTGATGTTAAACAAATAAACAAACAAAAAAACCAAAAAAAAAAAAAAAAACCAAACACGGGGTCTTGCTGCAAGCATCATCATCCTGTGGTTTCCTCCTGATTGCTTTATGATGAATGGCTTAGGGATGACACTGGCCTCTGGTGATAAAACGACAGGCAATACAAACACTCTGCAGCAATAATACTGCTCACATTTAGTAGCAATCAATAACCTGGTCTAAATAATCAAAAAAGTGAATGTCTGCTAAGATGATGAATGGCAGTGAAAACATTTGTCTAAAAACAACAACACTGTTATAGACTATGCACATATGATCCTTACAGGAGGTTCACTGATATGGCAAATTTACTCTGATTTCTTTCAGTGAATGAACTGATAAAGAATGCTCTTTTTAAAAACACCCTCTTGTATTTGCTTACAATCATTTGCTCGGTTTTCTCCTCCAGGACAGGATTCTAGTGATGGGAAGGTAGGGAGAAATTTCAGTTCATGTGGGCAGAGGAGTTACGTGATGGAGGGAGAGAGTGGTAAACATGAATTAAACATACAGAGGAAATTTTCAAAGAACTAACTTAAATTTTCATAATGGTGGTGCTCTTTCAAACTTGGAAAGAGGTTTCCCTGTTTGGTGGATTATGCTAAAACGTGGCACAGGTGAACTTTCCAATTTATTCACTGCTGTTGGGAAAAAAGAAATCATTTGTCACCTTGACAAAGACAGGTTAAGTTTATATGCATGAAATACAGTAACTGATCTCTAAGACATAACTGAGTGAATAAGCAGAAGTGATGTTCTATTTAATTCAGAACATAGTTACAAAAAAATGGGATCCAGACACAATGTTTTCGTGTTTGTATCTTGTTCTGATGATCCTGCAGGAGAATTCTTTAATTCAGTGTTCTTTGATGGATTACCCTTGAGCTAGATAGCCATGGCTTATATAATAAGCAGGTTGCTAGCTGAGAATGCTCCAAGAATGAATTTATAGTAGTACTCTTGGTGTTGAAGTATTGCTCCCTAGGGAGGGATGATAAATTTACGTGTTTCACAGAACCTAAAAAGAAAGCACTGAGTTTAAAGATAAAACTTACTTTCTTTGGAACTTACAGCCTAAATTTGCACAATTTATGAGGTCAAGCAGATTGTATTTTTAAATTGAACTCTCATTACCAAACATAAATCATATTTACAACCAAAATCAATGGGGGCGCATCTTTTGACAACAGCTCCTCATGAGAATTTCTGGTATACGCTATTTGATTACTTGACTCTGTACTATTTCTGTAGGGTTCTTTACAACTTTATTTGACACATAAACTGCATGCATCTTCGCAGTGAACCATGCCCTACATATTTTGTAGAAGAAATAAACTTCTGTGATTGCTGAAAACCTAGAGATTAGTAGCTAAGCACATACTGAGATGCTTTCTCTTCTCATTAAAGACAGTTCCATGACAGAAAACAGAGACATACCTGAAAGCTCACAGCCAAGGAGCTCCATTCTTAATGTACAGTGCCTTCGACAAATTTGGGGATAGAGTCTGACATACTGAGCTTTCATAGGGGGTGTGAAAGAATTAGCATAGGGTGTGTTGTTATCAACATTTCCACGGAACACCTGTGTAAAGACATACAGTATTTTAAAAGCTGGACATTGTGGCTCACGCTGCAGTAACAGTATTACGGAGGGTGAGAAAGCTGAATAACCATGAGGCAGGAGGATCACAAGAAATTCAAAGTCAACCTTGGCTACAGAGTGAGACCCTTACCTTTATATGTGTGCATACATGTATATATGTACACATGTATGTCTGTGAATGTGTGTGTGCCTGTATACATATACATTTGCAATAGATTCTTTATTTTCATACACACGAAAACCAGTCAACACAATTCCTAAAAGATTATAATGAAGTATTATTGAAAATTTACGAAACACCTTGCCATCAACAGTAAGCAAAAAAAAGTACTGTAAAACACTGTGTACTATGACATAATCATACTTCCCTGACTAATTTTTAAGTTTTTATAAGGATTTATTTGTTTAACTTTATGTGTATGAGTTTTATGCCTGCATGTACATATATTCATATTGTGTGTGTCTTGTACCTACCAAGGTCAGACAAAGATATCAGATCCCTTGAAACTGTCATTAAATAGTTCGTTGTAAGCCACAGTGTAGGTGCTGAGAACCTAATCAGGATCCTCCACAAGAGCTGTAAGTGCTCTGAAATGCTGACCTATCTCTCCAGCCCCCTCTACCACTTCAAAGGTCAGGACTGCAGAACCAGGGGAAGTCCTTCTCCATGTCTCTGTCTCTTTCTATTTCCCTTTTCTCTTCCTCTTCATCTCTCTATACATGTATATACATGTATAATCCTATATCATTTATTTTTCTGTTTGCCTGTCATGTCTCTCTTAAAAATTAACTCCCTACATCCTTCAAGTTAGTCTGAATCTTTCTACTTGCAAATGAGTAGACTTTTCTGGAAACCACCATTCCCTTGCTCTTCTTTACCAAACTTTCTAAGGTTGTTTCAAAATGAATTAGTTTAGTTTAAAGTTCTGAACATCAAAGGAAAAGGAGATATTAGATGCCATACTCATTTTTTCCACACTTTCTTTCTGCTCAGTAACAGTTACCTTTCCAAAATGCAAAATATGCACATATATACATCCTTTCTATCATTCAGTGCTCTTCTTTTTAAAATAGTAAATTATTTGACCAAGGAGAAGGCTATCTGTGAAAGCAAGGAGAATGGATTGACATGACGCTTGTCCTTAAGGCAGCTCACTTGTCATACACAACACTTCACTAACTTTTTGACAATTATTTATAGAAGCATCAATTAAAATCTAGGGATATTTTAAATGGCAGCTGGTAGAAATTCCCAACTTAGGAAAGCCCTGATACTTCTACCCAATTAAAATCAGAAAAGCTGCAGAAATGTATTTTAACACAAGCCTCTAGCAGAAGGCTCAGATGTCACATGATAACATGTGGTCATCAAGGAATTTTAATTAAATTCCATAGAATGAGTTAGTCTTACCATGTCTTCATTTGTGCCTTTCACTTTGTACATTGTCCAGGTTTTCCCATCGTTGCTATAGGCAATTTTGTAGGATTTTATGTACTCTGGGCTTCCAATCCTTTTTGCTCCTTGGGTAATAACACCAGTAACTCTCATTTTTCTTTGTAAATTTATCTAAGGAGACAAACATAGTCAATGAAAATCTCTTTCATTGCTTTCAGAGTTGCAATATGGGCAATATTGATTTTGGGAATGGAATTTTATTTAATCTTTATGTGAATTGCTAATTAAAATCTATATTCAGTATTTTTCATGAAAATATATCAAACTCATATATGGAGCTTAAATCAAAATATATTCTAATGATGGGCTATAAAAATTTATTACATGCCAAATATCCCCCTAAAATGTAGGACCAGAAGATCTTTGGTTGGCTATACTATGTAGGTATACTTTCATGAACTCAGTGATGGAAACACAGATCTTCGTTAAAGTAATTCTGTGTTATCAATGTGAAACTCTGATGACAATATGATTGTTAGTATAGCTCTGATGGAGGACTCCAGATTTTCCATTAAAAATGAAACATAGAGAGCACAGAAATGTTGAATGTTAGGAGAATGCTAAAAACAGAAATAATACCAGAACCAATCACAAGCAACTTTGATTTCTGGATCTCTCTCCTTTCATCTCTGCCATGGTGTGTAAAATGTCACAGGATGAGGGAGTTTTAGAGATTCAGCAGTTGCCTTTCTCTTCTTTTCATCACAGGGCAACTTTATAATTGATGTGTTCCTTCCATTGTACATCTATGTTTGCTGCAGTAATCATACATAGATACACCCTAAAATATTCTTCTGTCATTCAAACAGAAAATACTTTTAGGCTCTTGCTGTACAATAATTAATTAAATCATATTATGGGAACATGCTTTATCCACAGAAAATAATCATCAAACTTTATTTCATTTGCCGTCATTATATTCATACATGTATACTTCTGAGAAAGTTACTGTTTTGGGTAAATTGCTGTAAAACACTATTCTCTCTACTACTACAAATTGAGTAATTTAAATGTCTTTTATATTTATATTAGTTACTAATTCAGCAACATTTTTTTTCCAGAAAAGCAGTTATCAAGCAAACCTCAGAAGCTTGTGGTCTGAAGTGTCTTTGAGATCAATATTTAAATAATAGAGGTTGCAAAAGAAGATGCCAGAGGCACTATAGCCCAGTTCCTCAAAGCCCTAATGTCTCCTAATCTCTGACCTTCATGCTATTATGGCCAATTTCTGCAAGGCTAAGCCATACTCTTGTACGGAGAAAGTCTGAGCTGTTTATATACATAGATACGGAGAAGGGTTAGTCCCTGCCTCACTATGTTGAGCAGAACTGCCCCATGTTTGAGTCAGGTTGAACATTGCTAACCCTCAGATAATCTAGATCTGAAGGTCTGCAGTCCCTAACCCAAACTGACCTCCTAAATAATACTTCTCTTATAAAACTGTCAACGATACCCTGTGTCTTCAACAACCCTCTGTGGATTGACCCATACATTCAATTTTGTTTTTCTCATTTTGTGTCAGACATCACAGTGATTGTAGATGTGAAAGTATTCTCAGCTCCACTGTTGTTCCCAGGCTCTGAAAATGAACACAGTCCCCAATGTAAATTGTACTTATGAGACTTAGTATTTATGTACATTTGTTTCAGTCCTCTGATGGTTAGATGTGGTACTTTTACTGTGTGCTTTATACTAGGTAACCCCTAGTACACATTTTCATCATGTTAGTAAATCTGCATGTTGCTATGCAACCAATTTGCCTATGAGCCCTTTTCCTCTTCTCGTTTTACTCTGGGGTGTCTTCAGAGTCTGAACCTTCCCCATACATGGAATGTAAACAGTGGGCAGTTTGAATTATGTTTCCTCCCACTTTGGAAGCCAGCCTTTTTTAAAATCACATTTCATACTGCTGAGAATTCCTTTTTCAATTATGTTTTATCTCATTTCAATTATCTTGTTTACGCCTCTTGTAGACAGTCAAATTATCTCAGCTAGAAATTTGGCTGATGAGCTATACAGTAATTTTCTAAAGCTTAAATGGGAAAAGTGTAGCAAAATAATACAATAAAATCTGAATTCATCTTTCTCCAAATTATTAGAAACTGTTTTAAAAAGGTTCATATTTTCTTCAGCACATAACATGATCTGGGTATATATTCTAAAAATGCAGACACACAGCTTGTAAATATCATCACCTCACTTGAACTGTCATTATTAAGTAAACACCTACAATTAAACATCAGCAATGTTTTCATTAAATACTAAAGAAGACAAAACTTTTAAAATTTATGTTTGTAGTTATAGTCTAGGATTTCAGTAGGCTTCAGAATACTGATAAACATATAGCTTAATTATTATGCTTGGAAAAACAGTGGTTCAACATAAGCAAGAATTTCACATTCATGATGGTACTCAAATTTGAAACTGGGAATCAAAGTTGCTTTGGAGAAAAAAAATAAAAGTTGGTCTTGGAGGCAAACTAAGCCATGATTTCAGAGGCATTGTCAGTATTAACAGCTGCTGCAAGTAAAACTGGTTCCTCTCATTACCATGTTCTATGTTTGGTTCCTGCCAATCAACCTGATAAAGCTGACCTTAGATTTACCCTGCTTTTGTGGATCACACTGGCCACTATGGTAACTGTCTACTGAAAATCACATTGGACATTTCTAAACTATTCTGTAAATCCTTATATTCAAAAACTTATTTTCCTTTATATAACTTGTTACAAAGATGTTATTTCTACACAGAGTAGTAGGTACACTGTATGACCATAAAAGACCAAAGTATTTTCTGAGGTATTTTGAGCACATTGTGTCCCTTTATGAACATGGATACCAGGCAGTAACAGTAAGGAAGTAGTCACAGCTTCTCTTTGGCATCTACCTTTGTAATATTGTTCGGTTTGTTTAATCTTAGAAGTTGAAATTTCTGAACTCTTTAAAGGACTCTAACAAAATTTTGATACATAAACATTATACGACATACACATGAAAAACTTTAGCCACATAGAAAATTCTTTAAATATTTGATATTTGGTTTGATTTTCAGGGCTTTTTTGGGGGGGGTTAAATTAAAAGAATTCCACACATTTTTAGTCATTAACGTTTAATTTTAGGGGCTCTCAAGGAGAACATTTTCATGAATTGAAAGTCATAATGATCATTAAAAACTAATTTTGTGAACAACTTTTAGGGTTATGCATTATTAAGGTATTAGGGCTACAACTATTAAGTGTATAGTGTACATGTATGTATGAACATGTGTCTATGTTTGTGCAAATATGTATGTATGTGTATATGCATGTATGTGGATAAATATGTGGGTATGTGTATGTGAACATGTGTGTGTGTGGGTAGTGTGTATGTATCTATGTATGTATATGTATATATATATGTTTGCATTTGTGTGTATGTACACATGTATATGCATGCTTTTGTAAATATAACCATGAGCTTTAATATTGTATGAAGAGGGGAAATCCAACAAATTCTTATGAAGAGAGCAATTAGACTATGTTACAGGAGCTCCTCCTGCATCCAACATTGAAAATTATCCTATATGAAATATCTGATACAAGCCTTTTTTGTCACACATTATAAAATTTGTGTTTTGCATGCAAAATTAAATATTTTATCCATCCCACTTTGTAAGACAATTATGTAAATGTTTTAATCCATCCTAACCAGTAAAACCTTTGTTTAAACAAAGCCCTCTACTGTGTTTTAAGAATAAGATATCCTGGAGCAGTGACCCTTTTCTCTTTGAAACAGTGATCCCTTCCTTTTCTTCCTTCGTTTCTTCCTATGCAAAAAGTGTCTTCAGATAGTCCACCTGAATAAAATAGCCAGGTCAAAGGATTACTAGGTCAGAGCCAGACAATGGGGTAAAGGCAAAGACACCATCTGAGTTACAATAAAAGGCAAGTGTATTTCTTGTCTCAGTGTTTCCTTTTACAGAACACACATTCTTGATCATTAGTAAGGTTTGCTTTGTTCAGAAACTTTAGCTAGAATGACATTGGAATGGTATTCTCTGTCTTTGTGACTTATTTCTAACAGTCTGTTCCAAGAAATTCCAGAAAAATGTCTGATATTAATCACAATCTGAAATACACACATGCACACACATACACTAGCAGTAGTAAATTCTTAACAGTACTATGAGAAATCTTTAGTGTAATTGGAGATTTTAAGATTTTAGTACTTTTGAAGCCTGAAGCATATGAAACAGAACTCCGAGGGCTGAACAATAATGGGCATAAAAATTCTAGACATGTCATTTTTCCTTCTCAGTTTGTGTAACTCCACTCAGTTCCAGCCAACAATTGTGAAGACCAGTCATAAATTGTGGAACTAGACTGACACCACTGGAGCCTTTGATAACTAGTAAGCCTGTGTTTGACCATTTGCACTCCACAACCATACGTAGGGACTACATAGGGAAAGCAGAGATGCAGAGTTTGTAAGATCAGTGTCTTTCAGGAAAGTAGCATGTAGGCTTCAGTAGGAAAAAAATAACCACTGCTGTGAGACATCTCCTGACTTAACTTAAAGATCACTGCAAATGTGAGAGAGATCTTTTAAATATCATAGAAAAATTACATAAATTGAAAACCAACTGGACACCTGACTTCTGCTTGCCCAGTCTGGGATCTCCTGGCCTAGGAACTTGAGGAATGTTGACTTGCTCCCAGCAGATCAAGCAAACAGGAGTCTGCTGAGATTGTTGGGTTACTCCTGTCCCCACTCAGGGCAGACATGAGATGGGCCCCTGCCTCAGAGCTGACTTCTGCTTGTCCACTCTGGGATATCTTAGCCTGGGAGCTGCAGGCAGCTCAACTCTCCCTCTGTGAACCAAACAATAGAGAGTCTGTTGAAATCACTGTGCTAGTCCAGCTCCCAGCCACCAGGAGAGGGAGTGCCTCAAACCTGCCTGCAGCCACCATGAGACCCATCTGAGTATTCAACCTGCTTGCGTCCACCTAAAGAGAACCTTGGACCTGTACCCACCAGGAGAGGAAGGGACCCCATCTGCACCCACTGGAAGAAGGGGTGGTAAGACGACAATGTAGGAACACATTCAACAACAGAAAAACAAGTATGATACCA